TAAACAAATATTTAGTTTCCATGGCAAGTATTTAATATTTAGGGGATAAAGGTGAATTTGTCTCCTTGCATATATTGTCATCCTTTTAATTGGTCAAGGTGCTGAGAGAAAGTCTGTTGTGTAGATACATAGTTTTGTTTATTTTGCTTATTTTTTATACCCTTGTATTGCCTTTTTGATGTAATAATACATTCCAGAAAAATTTCAGGGGAGCTACAGAGCCATTTTAACACCTATAGTTTGTTCTACAGTATTTCTGTCAGCCATGTGAGGGGACAGCCAAAAGGTATTGAAGGGAAAAATTATTACATCAGAGCTACAGATAAGCAGCGTATTTGTGTAAAATAACCCCCAAAAATACTTAAAACCCAATTACTTTCAATTAACTTGTGTACAGAAATGCATGCATTAAATGAAAAACTCAAATGTATAAAAACAGCTCGCATAAATACCCAATGAAGCTTTTTCAGCATACATACGAAGGACCTAATTTCCGAAACACAATTACGAGCTAATTTACCTTCCGAGTCAATCCTATGTATTTAGAACATTATTTCATTTTTTTGAAATCTTAAAATGTTCACTAATTTTGGGAAAGACCCAGTAGAGTGATGAATAGATGAGCGAAAAAATATTGGTTACCCAATGAAAAATGTAATTACCCAATTAAAATAGAAACCCAAGTGTAAAAACTCAATCGCTCAAAAAGTTATCTGGAGCTCTGTTACATGAGTCAGTTTAATGGCACCAATACAATGGGCACATCTAGCCTCAATTAGGTCCAATCTGGTATACTTTGATTATATGAGGTGACGACATTGCAGCCATTTTGAATGTTATTTTGGCCAGGTACTCATGTAGCATGGTGTTATTCATTTAACAGGCTCCAGGCCCCAAAGTTTATTTTTTTATGGCTACAAGTATTTTTTTCAAGGTAGCCAGTGGTGAAATGAAGAAATCAATCCAATATTGTAGGAAGCCAAAAACATTTGAAATTATCTTTTATCAAATAACTATTATATGTACAAGTTATAGCACTAGTCTTGGAATTGTATATTGGTGGTAACTGTACATGCTGTACTTGAGTTGTGTTATTTTTCAAACAATCATGCAATTTATGTTACTAGATTATGTAGGTACATCCTTGCTTATCCAATAAACTATCAACTAAAATAAAATACTAATTCCATTAATATTTATGCATTTCGGTTCATTGTTGGCGTTAGGAGGAATTATTTGCAAGTACAATCAGTAGCAGACACGTTTATTTTTGTGTCTACATATATGTAGCAATAGAATTTAGTCGCCGCGAGATATTTTTGAAGGTAGTCATTTGGCTACCACTGAATTTTAGACAGTAGACAAACTGAAATTTAGGTCGCATTGTCCACCGTTTTAGTCGCAACTTTGAGGCCTGGGCTGTAATACTATGTTGCAATCTCTAATGTGCTATGTTTCAATCATATGTTCCATTTGGTCATTCCATCATCTTTCATCTTTTTGTGTCCTAATAATGAAATGTACCAGTAAGTGTAATAACCTTGTACTTGCAATGTTTCCTATGAATCTTTTTGGAAGTGAAGCTATGATTGGTTATATATGTGTGTTATCATGCACTCCAACAATGGTATAAAATAGATCTAGATAAAATCTACTGTTCTTTTCAGATTTCAGATTCACTTTATGAACATGAAACAAAAAATGGTTGTCACTGAGACTTTTTCATCTTTTTGATCATTGCATGGTCATACCCTTTGCATGCACCCTTGTATCTAGATTACAGGTATTCTAACACTGTTTGGATTTTTGCGGACAGGATCCCAGTAATTGAGTCTCAAACACATACCTACTCACAGAATTTGATTCTTAACATTCCCAAAGGGCAATCATATGGAATGTCAGTTTTGTGTGACCTGGCTGATTTGGTGACATTGAACCCAAATTACATGGATAGTTGTTAGTGCTATCAACCTCTTGCCTGCCTGGACCAAGCACCATTATTTTAAGTGGTCAGAAACAATTCACTTATTTTACCTCATTTGTCTATCATTAGTAAATATTCATATCACTTGGTGTATCTGAACATTTGTTACTTATTTCTGCATAATCTTGTTTACCCATTTATGATGACCTTTACCAGTATTTAATTCCCTAAAAATAAATTCTGATCAATTTCAGGCCCATTCAAACGGTTGGTAGTGAGGCATATTTCTGTTTACCCTAGATTGCCTTATCAATGTTGTCATGAAGAAGTTGATGGATGTTTACTACACTTTATAACCTTCATTTGCAGAGGTATTTTTGTAGCTTCCGATTTTGATTTGTTCATCTTTAAGAACTTTCTTCTCAGAAACCAAGGAAACTAAAACTTAATGACACCTGGCATATGTAGCACCACAATGGGACTCGGATTAAGTTATGTGGTTGTCCCAGTGTTTTATTTTACAGTTTGTACATTCAGTTCTGTGGTGTCATGTCTTGTGTTTGTTCTTATGAAGAATTTCATTCTTCGTATACCATGTTCACAGGTTCCACTGTCCAGTTACAAGAAGCCTGGTGCAAATAACTCGTTTGGTCCAGTTGCACCCAACAAAGGTAACATTAAATCGCCTCGAAATGTAGACTCATGTCTGTATGTCTTTAAACAAACTGGTTATACAAAATAAAACAAAATACTTTTTGAATGCAAACAACATGGCCTGCTTGTCCGGTGTTTGTTATCCTGATACATTTATTAGCTCAACCGGGTCCGAAAAATTCAAAATTGTACAAATGGAGGGCTGACCCCCTGAGCAGATAAAATGTTTCCAGTCCAGAATTTTCTACAGCAACAAACAACAGTAAATAACTGGTGAACACAAGAAACGTACTGTTTAATGTTAGTTCTCAGAAAATAACAATAAACTGGTGGATTGTCAACTTAGTTACTTTAACTCGTTGAAATTCATTAAATTCCAAGTCTGATTGACTGCCTCCATGGTGTACTGGAAGAGTGTCTGCCCAGAGAGCGGAAGGTTGGGGGTTCGATCCCTTGAAGCGTCATTCCAAAAGACGTTAAAAGATGGTACTTTTTGTTACCGTCTTGCTCTCGCTTTTAGGGGCTAAAAGAAGGAATGGTCCGCTCGGAGTCAGTACACTGTGTATAAAATTTGTTTGGCAGGTTTTGTTGAAGTATATATTTTTATATATATTTTTCTTCCAATATCAGTCACCTCCCACAGAAAATGTTGGAGATTTGGTTCTATTTTAAGATCATCTGTTATCCATTTTCCACATGATTATCCAGGTTTAAATTATGTGTCTGTGTACATTTGTGCACAAATAATTGTGTGAACGGAATCCAGCAATCTTTTACCACAAAATCAGTTTCAGAATGTTACAAAAAGTACCCAATTTATCATAACATATTTTAATTTTGTTCAAGAAAATATTTGTAGTACTGACACCATCTTAATGTTGTATCCTGGGCACATTTAACTGGCGTGAGAAAAAATCCCTTGCCAGTTGAGATAACTACAAATTATAGCTTTCCATTAAGTTTTGAATTTAAATGAGACAACATGATATTAAACTATAACATCTTTACAGGCATTTTCAATAGAACATAACTTGATGTGGCCATGAACCTACAATTATATTCTGTTTAACAATGTCACTGATTTTCTATTGTTGTCGTCTGGGTTTTTCATGTTAGTAATTAAATAAGGAGTCTATGAAGTTGTTAATATTGACATATTTATTCAAAAGAATTGACTCCAATATAATTTTACATTAATGAAGGTATAAATGTTAAAATATGGTTACTACGTGGATTTATTTATATTGAAGTTAAATCGTAAGTTATTGCATTAAGTTACATAAGATGACATCACTTATATGAATATTTTCAACCTTTTCAGGGCAATTCCCATGCTGTAATCAAACTTAAAGGTGTCAGTTTTCTGCAATAATACAACACCAACACTAAACTATTCAGCTCCCAAAACAATGTGCTTTGAGAAGGGAGAGCAACCATGCCCTGTACTTCTTGAAAGAAGCAGTGTTGAGAAGAAGAGTTCTGTGTTGAAGTAAGCAATGACATCCTGAGCAGTGAAAAGTTCAACAGATAGCAGCATCACTTCAGCATCACTGTGTGGAGGGACAGTTTTTCTCCCTATACTCATGGACAGTACATCTAAACATATGATGTACATCATATAGTGTTTCAAAATGTGAGGTGTGTTTCTTTAATTCATAATATCAATGGTCATATATGGTGAATTTAGCATCTTACAAATGCACTGTGCATGGAATTACTTCACTGACACTGTTTTCAGCATTTTAAGGCAAAAATTCTTTACATGTGTTACATTTATGTTTATTGTATCCTCAATAATAAAGAACTAGCAAAATGATGAATTTTGTTTGTATTTATTATGACAAAGGGTAAACAGTGAGTGAGTGAGTATGGTTTTACGCCGCTTTTAGCAATATTCCAGCAATATCACAGCGGGGGACACCAGAAATGGGCTTCACACATTGTACCCATGTCGGGAATCGAACCCGGGTCTTCGGCGTGACGAGCGAACGCTTTAACCACTAGGCTACCCGACAGCCCCAAGGGTAAACAGTCTTATGTAGGCATGAATGTGTTCATGTATTCATCACGGAGCGACATGATGTTAAATGGCTGGTTGTGTTAATGTGCCCAGTGCCATGGGTTTTGCTCATCTTGTCAGCCACTGATTTGCTTTGCCCACACCATATTTACCAGCCACCATGATATAGCTTCAACTACAATCCTGGCAATCCATGCTACAGATTATGATTGTACACCCATATAACAGATGGTAAGTTAGCATTTTAGACCATTAGGCCAACCATCCACACTATGGTGACAGAAACACAACTAGTGTCACATGTATTCAAACATTTTATTCTATTACAGAAGTCCATCTTTTTTATACTATATATAAATCAGTATTGAGACAAAAAGAACTTCTGCATACCATACTTGTGAAACTTATACTTAAAGACGGTGTCAGTTATCTTCAACTTGCTGAATATGAACTTTAACATTTGGTCTTGACAATAGTAGTGCGGGAATCAAGAGTGCAGCGTGTAGTTCATGACATCATTAAAGCAGATATCTGAAACCATAAAAAACAACAACTGAACAAGTTAAATGTATAATTTTCTTAAAACATACAGATTAATATTTTATAAGGTAATCTTCTTAGCTGTAAGCCTACAATGTTTGCCAAAGAAAGGTGAATACATTTGGTAATGATAGCCCATAGCAGGGTTAAAAGTAGTGCAACGACACTGTAGCTCAGCTGGACATGTAGTCAACACTTTTTAATGTAAAAAAACACAACTACTAAACAGTGAATATCATTGCTACCCTGCATATATATTTTCTGTATTTTCTGTATAAATACTGAGGACTGAAAACACTAAAATCTAAATATCTGAACAAAACATGCTGTCATCTTGAGGACACAAGTTCATCTCCCTCATTCTGGCAAATTTAGAGAAATTTACATAACATGGTCCAACCAAGGTCAAAATTATAAATTATGAAAAAAAACAAATATTTTTTGAATCCCATTACAATATAACACATATCAAATTTCATTAGAATTTGTACATAACTGACTGAATAATGGCAATAAGATGTTTCAGCTGACAGTTTAGTTTTAGTGCAATGATCATACTGGAGTTTGGATTTGAAAGTCTTGAACAATTCTGATGTGATCAACAAATCCGAAGTTTCAGCTTCAATGGTCCAGTAGTTTCTGAGGAGGTGTTCACAACAGAAAGCTCATGCTTGTAGATTGACATTCACCCCAGATCTCGAAACTGGACATTAAAATACTGTAAAATTTGCATTTCATCTCAAACCTCACATTCACACATTTCTCAGCTCATTGATACACTGTACTAACAACAGTTAGTGAAAGCATACTTACAATTGCTATACACACACATCTAATATCTGATTCTGTAAAATATGTGATCAGGCAGTGGTGATCAGGTTTAATGATTATCACAAGATAATATGGTTACCACTATAAAACTCGACCAGGTAAGATTAATAATGTGAAAATGTGACTTAACCTAATCAAATAGATTGGCAACATATGTCCAAAGTCTAGATGTATGCAATGAACACTGTTCATGACCATCTGTGCTGAATTATTCAAGCTAATCCTTACTACAGGATTAACTTGCAAAATTTCAGAGCAGATTTGTTGATTTGATATTTCCGATGACCTAAAAATATGTTTGTGTGGGAAGTCATTAAATTTATGGGACCCAATTATTTTACCTGAAGTGTCACCATTAACCTAGAGACACCACTGCTGGACTGTCAGAAAAGTAAAAAATTTTAACAACGAAAGATTGATGCACACTAACATTACCTCACTTAAAGGCACATAACACATAACACATCTACAGACTGAACTTGGTTAAAATATACCAACATTAGTCAATGTTTTGTGTCGTTATATCTGTAGCTAAGTTATTTTTGACCACCTGGACAGGACTGTTTCCAGAATAGTGATTGGTGTTGGCCTAGACTGTCTCAAGATAAATTTGATAGTGGCTATTGAACATAGCATGTCTTTTACACACATGACCATTCTATTTTATGTTGTAATTTAAATTTCATGTCCATTATTCATGTGTTCAATCATTTACAGGTGAATTTGGACCCCCTTTGTTAAAAGAATTCCGTTTTCCACTTTAGGTGGGAAATGTTACCTGCACTCGATGCAACCTGACATCACCTAAAAGTTACCGGCAGCAGCAATGTTTTTACCTGCACTGGTGCAGCTTGTATGTAGGGAAATCGATCCCTGTAATTAAATGTGATTATGGCTATTTATGTAGTGTTAAAGTAACAGTATGGACAAAATACTACAATGACAATGACAGAATTTGCTGCCAATATTTCTCATTTATCAACAAGTCCTTAAAGATAATTAACATAACCCTAAGATAATGATTATTCTCTTCCTGTCAACATAAACAGATTTCTACATTCAACTGTTTATTACTCAAAATTGTGTATCTTGTGTAAGTGAATAGGCAATATAATCGGAAACCTGTTATCGGGATGAGTTGGTTTTCAACCACAAAGACCCGTGGAAACATTTGGACAGTGACCATCATACATAAGGGCAATGTGTTGAATTGGAACCCCTTTGATCACATGGGTCCAATGGTACGCTCTCTGATTGGGTGCTGCCTAACTTCCTCCTTTGAGTTTCTTACATGTCAGTCACGGGATACAACAGATCATATTTGAAGATATTGATGAATTTGAAAACAACTGTCATACACACTGGTATACCATAATGACATTATCGATTGAAATAAATACCTTCTCCAGCAATTTAATAGCATATAACAGTTCTGGAATAGCTAAATATGCAAACAAAAGAATCTACATGTTTTTACACTACAAACGACTTATTGTACAATAACTTGCATGTCTGAGTAGTGACAGAAAATTTAATTTTAAACATATCTGCCATGTTGGTCATGCTCAAAATCAGATCATAACTTTGAATGCATTTCTGGTCACTTTATACCTGGGACCACACAAAAAATGACAGCTTAAGGTTATTAAAGAATGTAAAACTAAAGCATCACTGGAATCAAGGTTTACATTAAGGTAAAAGGTCATCAGCGGTAGAAACTAAGAGTTTTAGTCCACGAGTCTTTATAATGATAACATACAGCAAACCTATTGAAAGTGTCACATTTCTACTAGTCCTTATGCTACCTTAACTATTGGGCAGTTTGGCAAGGATTACAGGACAAGTGCCAATTTCTAATGTTGTTCATAAATGTGCAAATTATTGAAATACACAAAATAGAACCTCATGTAACACTGTCATCATAAATTGAGTTACATGAGCAGACTGTGCCAAAAACCTTTGGGTTAACTAGCCCGATCAGGACTCTCAAAATCATTTCCATTAGATTTTAGTGTTGTCATATTGATTATTATTAATTGGGCTAACTACATCGAACACAATGTTACTAGACTTGCGCTTCAAACTAGGGGGGGGCTTTTCAGGAAGAATTGCTCAAGCAAACCATGTTATATGTTTACTTTACAGTACGAATTAGTACATGCATTATAGTATACCTTAAAGTACCAGACAACAGGCTACTGCTTGCTACTTGAATTCCGAAATGAAATAGTTTGATATTTGCAAATCAATTGAATAATTTATTTTGTTGTTAAAATAACGGCATACGTAAATACGTTGATACTTCAGTGGGTACTGTGGTATACAGTGAAGTCTTGTGAGTCCCATCATCATGTAAAGAGTTAGAATATAATCTAGCAGTTGCCTTATTAGTCTATAGCAATCTGTTATCTGTTATAATAAAAACATATTGGGCATTACTATTCAGTTGGATTAGGAACTCCATAGGAAGTAGATAGATATGTAAAACATGATTTTAACAGCATGATTAGAGAAACAAGATAATATTTTTTAGATTAGAAATGAAATTCATCATGAAATCTCACATCAATTAATATTATGTTAAAATGCACATTTAGCTCTGTTGTGAGGAACATACTGATATTACAACTAAAGTTGACTCTTTCTAGCACTTTTTACAAACATACATAACCTGAAATGCTGTTCTCAGCAATATTCCTGCTTTGACAGCTGCCTTTGACCTGACAATCCAGTGATTGACCATCATGAGCATCAATCCATGCAATTTGGATACAATGACATGCATCAACAAAGTCTGCCAGCCTGACCCCTCGATCACGTTAGTCGCCTCTTATGTCAAGGATAGTCGCCTCTTACAACAAGCATGGGTTGCTGAATACCTATTCTAACCCTGATCTTCACGGGTAAATTTGTATAACTAAACACGCTGAAGAGGTGCCCATGATCATGTGGACTACAGTAACAATATTCCCTCTATTTGGGTACAACACAAATTGACTAAAACACTGAGAATTAAGCACATTTGCTCTTAGTCCTAATTAAACTGGGCTGTTACTGTACAGTCAAAACTAATTTTGGAATAATCAGAAATAACAGGAAAATGACAAGACCTAATCCAGGCCAGTCGACAAGGTGAATAGGAAAATATATCACATATATGACACCGTCAAACAGATCACTATTTGGAAACTACACTATGCCATACAATGTGTGAACAATTACATTATAATTGGGGGATTCAATTATACTTACTAAAACATGATGTTGCCAGAGGTGTTCACTACTGTTCATGATTCTGTTCATTGCTCATAGACAGATGTAGTGTCTGCTAAACTGTCAATAAAAACATTTAAATATTACACCCTGCACTCAACTGTGGAGATATATTCATCAATAAAAAGGTATTTTTTCTTCTGACATTCAGTTACCAGAGTATAACAGTTGGTTAGATGCTGTAGGCCTAGTTATTATCTTATGATAACACAATTATTCAGGTATAAATGGATAAATTTGAGTTTGTTGACAGAAGTTGCAAAGAAACAATACAGATGTAGACCAGTGTATTTAACTAACAGTAGGGAAATGGTGATCATGACTTGTTTTAAAGTTTATCAGCCTCTCTACTATCAACAAACATTTACAAAACAATCACTTTCACCAGCACTTTGAGAATACCAGGGTCACGTGATGGTGTTTTAGAACATTTTCAGTTGTTTGGGACTTCAGAGCTTGAATAAATTTTCTGCCTCCGATGCATACTGCTGAAATGTAAACAAAATACGATATAAAATGGTATGTATGTAAGCACTGATAATTAGTAATTACTTCTAGTTAGACTAAAAGAAACGAGCGAGTATGAAAAGGAACGTGACCCAATCGTCTTTGGACGCAAGTGATTGATCTCAACACATGGGCGCTTGACAGCAGGCAACAAGTACAACACAATATACTATAGGTAGTTGGCCATACTGTAACGGTAAAGCACTTTTTTTTAGAATAAACGGCATTAATGATGCGCGACCTTGCTCGTGCACGTCGACGTTGTGTCTAGGGACGCAAAGAATGCAAGGCTGCCAGAAGAAAACATGCACGACATTACGTTCCGATTTGTGGCAATGGCAGACATATTCAAGAGTATTTATTGTAATGAAAACACTCACGTCTGTTGTGCTAAATGTAGAGAACGGACACAATTAACTTGTCTAAAATAGGCCAAGGTTGAGCGGTAGAAATGTCGTGACCTTACACAACATGGCGGAATATGATGCATGCCGAGGTCATGTGACCAGCTGGTGATGTAATGATCAATGGTTATAATTTACTTCAGGATGTTGTAGATTCTATTTGTAATTATTTTACAACCACAGTATATTTCAACATCTAAGCTAGAGAAAGTTCACGTGTTAGCAAGCTGGTTACAGGTTGAAGTTGCTCTGCCGTAATCTTTTATTTTTCAGTTGAGACAGAGCCCGGCTTGCATACCGTCTACTTTACTCGTTGACCAATACAAATCAAAGACATGCTATACTTTGCTGTAGCTAGTAGTAGCAGTAAATGTTAGTCGTCAGAGACGGAGAGACCGTCTTTGTACCTACTCGTAGCAGCTCACAGTTGCTAACAAATCGCTGCTAGTAGTAGGTAATATTTCCTAGATCGGGTGTCTGAGGACAAATTTAAAGGTGTATGTTCACTTTGTGGCATAAAGTTGCCCTTTAAAGGCGGCACCATTTCAACGATGAGTAGAAATCAATTCTCCTCAACTTCAGGAAGAATGTAACTTCGCGCCTGTTTCAAAATACACACGTTTGACGAAACTTTAAAGTCCCATGATTTATTGATCAATTAAACCCCTTTAATAAGGACCTGAAAAAATTATTATACCACACATTATTAACTTCTATGGTCGAAATGTGTTTGAAATTACGGGGAATATGAAATTGGATTTTTTAAAAGTAAATTCAATCTACTAAACAATGATCAATCAAATACTGCAAGAATCATCATAAGTACGCCATCATTAAATTAGAATATACCCTAGATAGTCAATAAGACGTCCTCCCTTGCCGTTCGACATGTATATATAACTTCACCAGTTTGTGAAAAACATTTTATGCTAACAACTCTATTAAAGTAAATTGTAATGTTTGTATATTGTAGAGGAGTGGTGGGGTAGCCTAGTGGCTAAAGTGAAGACCCGGGTTCAATTCCCGATATGGGTACAATGTGTCAAGCCCACCATGAAGGTTGCTGGAGTATTGCTCAACGCAGAGTAAAACAATACTCACTCATTGTATTTTTTATCGGGGACTCATTTCCTAGTTAAAGCTAACAGCTTGCACGTTTCCGCGTATTTAACGAAACTATGTGTAGACAATACCCTGGATAATCCAGAATGTGCAAAACTAAACCACACACAATCACAATGTACCCAAACGACCGTCAGCCCTATACCGTATTTCCTCTACTAGACGCCAAGCGTCTATTACGTTCATGCAAGCAATTCACTACCCCACCGAATCCCAAATTCTACAGTCATACAAACATACATCTGTAGGAAACGGTAATTATAAATCACCAACATATCACAGTATTACCGACCAGGGCCCACTTCCATAGAACAGTCTTAGTTACAATCGATCTTAGGCGGCTACAATCAAGTTTACAAACACCCTACAACTGTCCTATCCCGCTTACACAAACCGATCTTAGAGCAATTCTATGACGGCTTGGATTTAAAATAGCGATTTTAGCTTCCATGAAAATTTTCAATGGCGGAAACTCGACTCCTTTCTATAGTAACTGTTGTCGGCAATAGTGTCTACCAATAGTGGAGCCGGTTACGTCACAGAACACATACACACTGTTTTTATGATAATATTTTACTACGAATATACACATAATTAATTTGGGTCTAGATTTAATGACATAATTATCATGAAAGTTAAAATAAACAATTATATTATTCCCTTATATTTTGACACATCAATGTGTGACCTACCATTGGTTGTCTTAAGATCATTGTTAAATACGCATCATATTTGTGGGAGCTTTCCCTAAAACTCTGAGATCGCTATCCTAAGGATTTACAATAATTGTAGGGCCAAGATTTTTTTGCTAAATGGGCCCTGGGGTCTTATGAAGTCCCGGCTTACTTTTGGGACAGAAGGTATGACCCGGCGTCAGTTAGACGCCCGTGTGTGTTTCAATAGAGGATTTGTCAAAACATTTCCTGTTTTCATTTAGACTGTGTCACTCTCCGAGTCATCTTATCCAGATGTAAATAAGTACGCTGTTTCACTGTATATTGGAGGCCACTAACTTCTAAGACATGCATGTATTTCTCCAGTCACCAGTTATATTAATATTCAATAATTAAATGATTCATCTTCGTGCTTCAGTCATTCCTCCAATCAAATTCACAGAGACTACAGTTTCTCTCCGAAATTAATAGTGACATGTTTTACTGTTTAAAGTGACAATGCATGAAGTAAACTATTTACCACAGTTACAAACTCCCTAAATCAAAAAATAAATTAAATACGTGTCATTTTTTAATTGAAATAACAACTGTTTATCTCCGATCTCATTCCTTATAGAGAGAACCCTATTATAAGATATCAGACGTATAGGAATGAATGAGTAAGTTAAGATTTTAAGTCACATCAGAATAATTCGGCAATATCATGACTTTCAAAGGCGCGACGTATAGGAAGTATCAGACATATCTTTGAAACAGTGTTGCCTATGCAAGTTCATGGCTGTGTTTGGGGCTCGTAACTCGCAACACGTTCCCTTGTGAGCTTTGTCATGGAAATCTTCCTTTGTCTTTATGAGTTTGCTTTCCGATTTCGCCCTAACAAGCAGAATGCAAATGATAACAATACCATGTGCAATAGTGTGATATTTATACACCAGGTGCTGATTAATTCCTGGGAGTTGATTCACCCGACAGAATTGTTCTTTATGCACAACCCGGCCTGACATACAGACCCATATTGTAATCTTTATTTCAGTTTTAAAAGTGCCCATGTTTTTACTCACAGCTTACTGCGCGTGACTACACTCCTCTTGAAGACCCGGGATAGAATAGGTCTTCAGCAACCCAAGAAAGGCGACTATGCTTGTCATAAGAGGCAACTAACGGGATCGGGTGGTCTGGCTCGCTGACTTGGTTGATGCATGTCACCGGATCCCAAATGCGTGGATCGATGCTCATGATATCAACCACTGGATTGTCTGGTCCAGACTCGATTATTTACAGACTGCCATCATATAGCTGGAATATTGTTGAGTGGGGCGTTAAACAAAAAACAACAACAACAACAAATAAACAAACTCCCATCTCCATATTGTTCACGCGTAACTTGGAGACTGTACGTATACAACATTGTATATATGGGAAGGGAAAACTGCTGTTCGCAAACCATACACAGTGTCGCGCAAATACGCCTGTCACTTTGGACGGGCAGTTTTGGCTCACAGCCAATTCCTGATCGTGTGAAAAATGGAAACAGTGTCTGCAGCTTGATTAGGCCTAGAGCAAAGCATTATTTGTTTCTTGGATCCGTCTCGTTCCCTTATTTTTATTCCGACTCAAAAGATTGAGTCACTGGGTTATTGATTTATGTAACAGAACTCCTGCATCCCAATAAATATTAATATCTAACTGACACATAAGGGGCCCACTATGTAATATTTAGTATGGGATGAATTCAGTATTCCAAGAAATATAAATATTAGAGAACTGCCTGGGGAAACTACTCGCTAAGTATATCACTACGTTTGGACCAAGTTTAGGGGGAAAGGGGAGAAGGGGTTATCAATTATGTTGATCAACAACACACATGCACGTTCACTTGATCTTAATTTGATCTTCTTATGTTTCAAGCAGTGACAAGGTTGTACCTTGACTTAACACATTTTTAACATTTGCAAATCATTCATATCTATGCATTTCTCAAGAACAATCGGCGATAAGGCATAAAGTCTTTACACAGTTTGTCATTCAACAAAATTTGTTGGATCTCAAATCAATATGACACAACATCGTTAATGATTTTTATGAATGGGTATGTTTGGATTTACACATTCCAAAACTGAGCATCGGGAATAAATTTTATTTTTTATTGGACGAATTTTTTTTAAATGAAATCACAGCATTATTGAAAACAGATTAATGTATGCAATTAAACGCTTTTTTCGAGGAGACAAATAAGCGCCAAATTTTGCAAAGTTTAGCCAATCAGTGACAATCTGGGTTTATGTTTCTTACACGTGTACCTGTCAATCATGACAGTTTTAGCGGGAGCCAATCAGTGACGACCTGGGTTCATAATTTCTTACGCGTGTACCTGTCAATCATTGTAGTTTTAGCGGGACTATAAAAGAGAGAGCCATCAGTGCCGCGTCATTATGCTCTTTATTTCCAAGAACACCAACGATGTCTGGAAATCGATTACTTCGACGCGGCCTCTCTGTGGATCGGGATATACAGTGCGACTGTCCATTCCTCTCCAGGTTTGCCAACCTGTTTGCTCCGAGCCCGGACAACAGTGTCATCCCAACTTTGGAACTCTTCACGGAGTACAAGGCCAAAGTGGCAGCCTGGACTGAAGACCAGCAACTCCTAGCTCTCGCCGGTAGACGCCAAGCCTTCACTACCCAGTTCCGGGCGGTCGCCATCAACGTGGGCTTCGCTTACGTGGAATCTCCTCGCCGTGGGTATAAGGTTAAGAAGGTCAGGATAGGTCGAAATTTGGAGGGAGGGGAGGGCGATAGGGACGTTTTGGGGGAACCTTTGCGGTATTCTTTGAGGGGTCACAATACTCGTAGAGCAGTGCAGGAGAGGGAGAGGAGGGGGGATATGTTTTCGGCACCTATCGTTGCACCTGTCGGTGGAGAAATTGGGAAGGGGGTTTTTGCCACTCGGAATTATAGGAGGAAGGAGGTGGTGTGTGAATACTTGGGCCAGCTGATTCCGAGGGCAGACGTTGATGGGAGGTTGGATGAGTACGACAGGCTAAATTTAACTTACCGGTTTCTTCATGTTCAGGGGTTTCATGGTGATGAGGAACTTGTTTTGGACGGCCATAGAAATCATCAGGGTAATCGTATTGACCCTGATTCAAATTTGGGGGCAACCATGAACCACTCTAGGGATAACGCTAACTGTAAGTTAACCCGGGTTAAGGGGA